CATTTAGCATGCAGTTGTTGTTTTGTGTAAATTATGCCACAAGGGGCTTTGGATCAGCGCCCATATATGTATAAACATTCTGACATGATCTGATATGTTAAGATAAGATAAGACATGATATGATATGAAATGATATGATGCATCATGGTGTTAATGCCACGGTTTCATTGCGTCCTCCTGCTTCTGCTTCCTATTCAATAGGCCTTGTCTGGATTCGAGGCGAGACTTAACCAATATGAAAACTGCGGATGAGTCGAAGGAGCTACCGTACGAAGGAACAGCAAATTCCGGTCCATGTAATAGCCTCGCCTTTGAGCTTCTGCCTTGTAGCTTGCCAAAAAAACAGTCTCCGAAGACTCGTTTGTCGGTATTGAAAAACTCATCCTCGCTGCGTGGCGAGGTAAACAGCCGGCATATCTCTGAGCTCTGCGACATGTAGCTTTAGGAATGCAGCGCCTGGCTATTAATCTCCTGAACATGAAACTGCGGCCTCCAAGCCACACGCGTGGATGTCTACAACTCACTTCGCAGCGGGCGTTCGTCATGGAATGGCCTGTACCCACATTGCAGCTACTAAACTGCCATGATGTTTTGCCGTTTGACAGTCTTGTCACACGGACATATTTCTGGCTGCAAGGATTTGGCGAAAAAGCAGAACTTTCGGATATTGCTTGTCAAGTAGCCATGAGAAAATCTTCGAAACGAGGCAGTCTACTCTGCACCAAGGGCTGCAACTGTTTCGGATTTGGAGGTCTTGGATTGGAAGATTTGATATCTCAAGGGTGAAGCCGACGAGTTCAGGCTGTGGATTTGTTCAGGGATTGGTGTTTCAGGGACACAGATCCCAAAACGCAGCGTGTGACTTCCGGCATGCACTCCAAGATCATCCCTGAACAGATGCTTGCAAGGCACTGTACAAGGGCCGAGGATTTAAGGCTCAGCTTTTAGGGATTTGTTGCCTCGGGTTGTGCACTATCTCTAACCTGTCCCTGCGAAACGATTGCTTCCTTCCTGTGACTCTTCTGCCTCTGCCGTGGTTGTAGCTCATGAAATATGATAGTGGTCCCTGAGAACCCTGCGCCCTGAACCCCAAGCCCTCAACCATAAACCACAACAAACCGGCACCCTAAACCCTAAACGTACCGAGAGCCTGCTTTTGCCGCTGCCCAATCACTGCAGCGATGGGTCGCTTTCGGAATCTCTGGGTTTTCTGGGAGGGTACTACAGGGGCCTTAATGATCAGACTTAGGTTTTTGTGTCTACTATGTTTAGGGTTCAGGGTTTAGGGATTGTACTCTAACCATGATAATGAGAAGGAACCCTTAGGAGTGCTATCGGTAATTTTTCCGAGCCCTATATTACCCGAAGGGCTCCTCTACGCATCTCTATGGAGTCTGCCGGCTCTTATGAGGAAAGAGATCCGGGACTGGGGCTTGGGGTTCAGGCTCTTAGGTTTAGGTTAGCAGCTTCTACATCGCAGTTGCCCCTTGATTTAGTTGCTGTGGCGAATTAAACCCTATAAATAAACCTTGAAACCCCAAACACTCAACCCTAAACGTATCATCCCAGGAGGAAGCCCCGAGCCTTGAGAAGCGGCGCCAAGTTCTCTGCAGAACGCTTCCGGCCCACCTTTCAGGCTTAGAGCTGCGGACCCGGGGTTCGAGGATGTATAGGGCTTTCGGGCTTTAGGGGCTTGGGGCTTTAGGGCTTTAAGGGCTTAGGGGGTTTTTGGGGGTATCTTGGGTTCCAAAAAGTGCGATCCTAAGGGTTTAAGGCTTCGGGTTTCAGCCTTAGGGCTTCGCTTTAACCCTAAGCCCTAAACCCTAAAGCCTAACAGAAAAGTACACTCAAAGCCTAAACCCTAAAACCTAAACCCTAAACCAAAGCAGGGCCCAAGGCCTCGACTTAGACCCTGGCCGCTTGGGTTTCGGGTCTTCCCGAGGTTTCGGGCTTTAGCGTTTCGGTGCTCTTCAGGGCTTACTACTTTAGGGGGGTCTGGGTTTTTAGGGTTTTAGGGGTTTAGAGCTTTATAATAGGGGTTTACTATCTTTAGGGTTTCGGGTTGAACTGTGTGCTCTGTTTCTTAACCCTAAACCTGCCCCTAAATCCGAAACGCCGAAACCCTGAACCCTAAACCCGAAACCCCGAAGCCCTGAACCCTAAACCCGAAACCCCGAAACCCAGAACCCTAAACCCGAAACCCCGCTTCTCAGCATTTCTAAGGATCGGGCTCCATGGGCCAAGGCTAAAGCGATCGCGGTGGCGACCAGTGCTCCGAGCAGAAATGCTACCGCCTTGGCGGCGTGGTCCATAGGCTCGGGTTCAGGGTTTAGGGTTTCCGGATTAGGGTTTAGGATAGGGGCCTAAATGATGAAAAAATGGGGTTTCGGCGTAAAATATGCTACATCTGTGTCATAAGTGTTTGGAACCCACGTAATGAGAGACTTTGGGATGTGGGGCTTGGGAGGGGGATCCCGAAACATGTAAGCGAATACGCGTTACGTGGGGGTCAGAAGAGCACCCACTCTAGCCAAGGATTCGGGTTAAGCTAATTTTGGACTTGACCGCTGGACGTCGGTTAACCCATCTTGACGGAAAGTCTGTTTTCATCGAGCTGGAGCAAAATCCTCATCGCAGCCCTCGGTACTTCCTGTTCCCCTACCGCTGCATCCAAGAAAGATTAAACATGCGACATGAGATTGGAGCCTTATCACAAGGAAGGAAAGAACAAAGATCTGCTTTTGTTTATGGGCGTCCTTTCGTTAAGTTCTGGGGCACTCAAGCCACAGCAAGTACAGAGAATCCCGACCACTGAGCAAGGACAGATAAAGGGATGTAGTGCCCCAGTGCAAGTTGTAGATCAGCTTGCAACTCCACATCCCCACGACGCCCTAAGACAACCAAAGTCTGAAGATCAAAGATATAGTACAATCTTATATTATGAGATACCATATGAGTATTATGTTATATTGCATTGTATTATAGTCCAGTATATTATATTATATCATAAACATCTAGACCCAATCCTTGGGTGTGGGGGCTTCGGCTTCCCTTGTGGGTTGACCTGCTTTCTGGAGCAATTACCACCCTACCTAAACCCCCAAAGCCCGAAAACCCTAAAACCCTAAACCCCCAAAGCCCGAAAACCCTAAACCCCTAAACCCTACGCCCAAGTAATGTAACCTGATACCCGGAAACTCTTCTCCTGCCAGCAGCGGAACTAGACAAGCTGGCCAAGGAAATATAGGGGTCTTAATCCTCAAACTGCAGGGTTTGTGGCATGCCTGCATACATACAAATATAGCAACAAACAAACATACATACATACATACGTA